CTTTTTCTAATCTAGAGGAAATTAGTATAACTAACTCAACATAGTTTGCTTTGAATGATTTACTTGAAGTCTGGCAGACACAAAATGTCAACAAGAAGCTGAAGATAAAGTATGTAAATTCATTCCTCTATGCATCTTTTGGAAAGTGTGGCTTCTAAGGAATAGAAGATATATTTTAGGGAAAAAAAGCTTATATTTTTATTTTTTTTGAGAATGAAAAAAAAAAATAAAAGCTTTTTTTTTCCCTAGATTTTTTGTCAAATATATATGCATCAGAATTTATTATGTTGGTACAAAATGATTTTTGTAACTAACTGGACAGAGTTTATGGACTTGTTAGACTACTTTATTATGTAGATTTACACAAGTCATACTTTTTGTACTCTTTACGTACCTCCTTGGCATTCTGATATTTTTAAAATTACCATGCCACTTTTTCTTAAAAAAGAAGTAATAGCAAAGGCCAAGTTGTGAAAGCATTTAAACAAATTATACACCACTTAAACGTCTATGCGTAGAAGTAGCCAAGAAAAGCTGAGTATTCCAATATATTACAACAATTGAGACAAAGCAATAAAGGGTCCTAGGTTCCACAACAAAGACTCCAGCTTTAGAACAGTTGCTCACATTTTAATTTGATAATGACCAAGCGGTGAACCAGGAAGGTTGTGTTCTAACATCATAACAAATGAAAAGGCGAATTCTAACGCTATGTTAAGGAAGTCACAAACACAACATTTTATCACTCTTACTTGGATTATTCATACATATAGTACAGAAAGGCAAGGTAAATCCTGTATAAATCTGATTGTCAACCATATAGCTTCTTTTCTTGTTCACCTCCTTTACACTCAATATTTTCAGCACTCTTTTGGCTCAAAAAATATAATGAGTTTGTTTCTTTGGTATCGTAGGATGAAAACATTTCAGTATTTTTTTCCTTAAAAACTGAGAATTCCCAAAGGTCAATAGGCGCATAGTTCCAAACTCCGTGGAAAATTGGTCCATCCCTCTACCCAACTCGACTAAAATACCAGACTTTGACCACTGCCAAAGCACAGGGGGCACATTCATTGCACTCTAGCTTTAACCACATTTTCTATAACCATTTAATACTTGTCAAAGAAAATCTAATTTAGGCATCACATTAGAATCTAAAATAACACCTTTCACAAGTCAAATCTTGATTTCAGGGTTACTGTACTGAGAATAGCAGCAAAAAAGTTACTGAGTTTGATTATTTTGGTATCATAGGATGAAAACTGAGAATTCCCAAAAGTCAATAGGCACATAGTTCCAAACTAGGTGGAACATAGGCCTATCCCTCTACCCTTCTAGACTTAAATACCAGACTTCGACCACTGCCCAGGCGGCACATTTGAGGGCATTTCACTCTAGCTTTAACCACATTTTCTGTCACAAATAAGTACTTGTCTAATAAAATCTAATTTAAGCATCACATTAGAATCTAAAGATTACACCTTTCACATGTCAAATCTTGATTTCAGGGTTACTGTACTGAGAATAGCAGCAAAATTTACATATAAATGAATTTCTTGATACCAAAATAAGAAATTTTCAAAGTGAGGTTACCTTGGTAGCAGTAGAAATTACTTCATCGTCTTTAGAAAATCCAACTGAACCAAAGAGAGAGTTTTCAGATAAATGAGGCCCGGAAACAGCTACTGGTAACAGAGAAGGTAAGCCGCAGCTGCCAGTATGTCGAAACCTAGAGATTCGAGAAAGCATGGTTTTCAGAAGAAGAACCGAAGCTTGAAATTGAAAAGGGTCAAAACGGAAAAACGTTAAAGAGCCATTGCCTACTTTTATTTTGTCATATGGAAAAAGGGGAAAATATATGTTTTTAACTATGTGATTTGAAGTCAATATACCTCCATTGTACTCCTTCCGTCTCATTCTATATGTCATTCATTTCTATAAATAGCTGAACTACAGTACTTATCATTTTATAAAATTTATGCATAAATTACCATATTTTGCCTATTATATCCTTGATATAGTAGTTAATTAATCTTGAAAATATATTCATCATTTATTATAAAGTTGACTTAAGAAAACATTAAAGGGTAGAAAAGTAAAGTTACATCATTTCTTAATGCAAGTGCAAAGTAAAAATGTGACATATAAAATGGGACGGATAAAGTATGTCACTAGAACATGTATGTCATTTGTTCAACTTTATATAAGTTGCATATACTTTCACGCATGATGTGAATTGCCAGTAGGAAGGGGCGGGGAAACTTCGATATGGTAATTTTGGTATTTGGTTTTTAAACCTATTGTATCATTATCATATCAATTTAATTCGGTATGGTTCGGCATTTGTTTAAGTTCAACTTCAGTATTTTTGGGTATGGTAAATTGGTAATCATAATTTATTCAACTTCGACTAATATATATTTATTTAATAGAGTATTATGACTTCGATAATTCAAAAATGATCTCAATTGTATCATATTAACACATTACACATATAGAATATTTATTCAAAAGAAAGTACAAATAACTTCTTTTGTTAATTAATTACATTTCAATCAAAATAGAGTAGTAAATTTCAATCTTGTATACTCTTTATATTATTAAATACTAACAAATATGCTACCTCGTATATTGGATCAAAGCTGAACTGCCTGACTTATATGATCTGTACATCAAAAGGATAGGAAAATAGAAGCTTTTCAATTTTCTTACTTCTTTTGGCTGACATGCAAGAAGCTTACAAACTCTGTTGGTTATCCAATATTGTTAGTTTCAGCTGGGAACAATGGATTTCCTTAAATCATATTGACATTGTTGTTGGTTCAGGTTTTGCTGTTATCCACTATTTGGTGAAATAGAAATAAAAAGGTCATCTTTTGTGATAAACAATGGAAATAGAAAAGGCAAAAAGGCACAACACCTACTATAGCCCACCTTTCCCAGACCGTACACGTGAGATCATACTGGATATGTTGTTGGGTCTGTTTTCTCTCTGATGGATGAGAGGAGGATGTATGATTCCTCTTCGAGAAATTCTTCTACCTCGTGAGAATTCGATCAAGTTTAATTTGAGTTAGGAGAATCATAACCTGATTGATTCGAGGTATGTCTCTTCGTAATGGAGATTAGAAATCAGGAAAAACATTATTCCTTTTTGTAACTGCCAAAGGAATCAGTTATCAACAAGATCAGTTGAATCCAAACCTTGATTTGCCATATAGCTCACAAGAATTCAGACTTGTAAATATGAGGGAGGTCTTTCAATAAACAATGCCCCAACTCCATAAATGATTTTTGGCAACACCCATCCTGTTTTTCAGAATTCAATATGAAAATAAAAAGGCCAAAAAATCTACCAAAGGAGCATAATTTTCTTGAGTGGTTCATACAGATCAGGTATCTTATCCTTGTAGGGCAGCACAAAATACTCCATGAACTTTGACTCTGTTAACCTGACAACAGTATAGAGCATCAACTCTCTCCTCTTAAGCTTCTTTTCGTCCAAAATTTTCAAGACTTGCATCCGAGGTACCACTCTTTTTTCCAAACTATGCATCACAAGTGTAGGGGTAAGAAACCAAGTAAGCAGATTTAACACCAAGCTCCTTCATGAAAAGATTCAGTGCTTTCTCTATTCTAACTTCCGAGAGGGCAAGACAATAAGGTAGCTTCCGGAACATGGGGAGTATATCATCATTAGACCATCCAAAACTCCTGAAAATTCCAATCTTTCTATCCAACATAGACTTCTTTTGGGAGGATACCATTCGAAATCCATACTGAAATATAGGGGAATAATGCGGAACTCAAAAATCATTCTCCACTCTATGCAACAAATCCTTAATCCTTTCAGGCTTTTGTGTAAGAGGGCAACAGGAGGTTCATATGGTGTTGTGGTGGAAGCTAATTGAACTGCCTCCTTAATCAGAGCTTCAGAGTTCATGTGTTTTGAGGTGCTCCAGCCGTGGGAGTTGGGTTGTTTTTCTCCAGATTTCCCCACGGTTGCCTTGTGGTTGAGGCTCACTAAACTAGAATGGTTCATCTCCAAGTCCTTCAGGTTGCACAGCCCTCGCGGTACTCCACACTGCAAGAGTTCATGGTTTCTTCTAATTGTTCAGATTCGGTCCAACACCATCCTGGCTTGTTACATCACCCATAAAAAATCACAAGTTAAGGCCAATTGGATTTTACAGCTCAAGGACAGTAAAAATAGAATACAATTGATACTAAGCATTAGATAAATATGGCAAATATCAAGTGCACATTCAGAGGGCAAAAAAGTCTATCGACATTTGGTGTTGCAATTTGACGCTTTTATAAAAGTAAAGATGTTGATAAAAGGGAATCCAAATGGAAATGAGAAGCTAATTCATCTCCAGACACTGTCTACTTGGAACCTGGATAGGAAAAAATAATGCTTTACAATCACCAAAAGGGCAGAAACTATGTTTTCTTTAGACAAATGTAGATTGAGCATTATGTTAATTAAAAACCTGGGAGAGTGTATTCTGTGTCACCAAACATGAATGACCGACTAATTTTCGAAGAGTTTATAGGACAAATTCTACATCCTACAAGCTCCATTCCCAGTGGGCATATCTTTCACAAAGCACCAAATCATCGGAATTTCGTTTACATCACAGAGTAATTGTAGAATAGATGGAGTACCAAATTATTTCGAGTGAAAAAGTATGAAATGAAAGAGACTCTTCAACTTCAAATTAAGGACCAGATAAATACAAAAGCTCAGGCGGCAATAAAATGGATTGAATAGCAAACAACTCGTAAAATGTTCCAGAATCAAATCAGAACAGGATAGAAGAATATCCAAATGGGAAGCAAATAAATACTTGACTATTTCTCAAACCTCCAATGATATTTTTCCTTTATAATGACAGAAATGACACTGACTGTAATTTTCAGAATACAAACTGAAAAAAATAAACGCAAAAATATATTGGACTACAGAATATGATTTTAAAAAGGTTAAACTAAAACGGCTAGGGAGCCACAGTTTTCTTATGTGATTCATACAAATCAGGTATCTGATCCTTGTAGGGCAGCACAAAATAATCAATGAACTTTGTCTCTGATAAGCTCACAACAGTATAAAGAGCCAACTTTCTCCTCTCAAGCTTATTTTCATCTAAAATTTTCAAGACTTGCATCCGAGGTAGCACCCTTTTTTCCAGACTATAGATCAAAACTGAAGGCTGAGAAGCCAAGTAAGCAGGTTCAGAACCAAGCTCATTAATGTAAAGATTCAATGCTTTCTGAATTTTGACCTCTGACTGAGCAATACAATAAGGAAACTTCCTAAACATCTCAAATATCTCATTATCAGACCATCCAAAACTCTTGAAAATTCCAATCTTCCTATCCACGGTACACTGCTTTTGTGAGGCTAATGTATGAAATCCATAAGGAAACATAGGAGAGTCAAGCGGAACTCGAAAATCATTCTCCACCCTATGCAACAAACCCTTAATCCACTCAGGATTTTGTGCAAAATACCTAGGATTTCTAAGCACGAGTGTTTTTATTCCCTCATCAGGAACACCACAATTTTTCAACAACAATAGATTAGTCTCCATAATATTATGAGCACCAAAAGTAAGCAACCAAGGAGCTCTCTTTAACGCCTTCACTACATTTTCATCACTACCCAAAGTTCTCCTAAGACGATCAATGGTAGGTCTCAAATGAGTATCTAAACCTCTTTCAACAATTTTTGAATCTCTAGCAATTACATTCACCAGGTCCGACCCGGATAACCCGATATCCATAAGGCACTGGAATTTGGGTTTTAGGGTTTTGGAAACATCTGATAATAGCATTTTGGGTGCTAAAGAAACCATTTTTTTCATCTGGGTATTGTCCAAACCGATTTGTTTCAAGAAATTGATGACTAAATCAGGATTCTTAAAGGTTTTCAATGAAGTTACCTTGGAGGATGTAGAGGCAGCTTCTTCATCGGAGAATCCGAGAGAATCAACAAGGTATTTCACCAAGAAATGGGTCGGGGCAGGTGTAGAGGTTGATGAGTAGAGATATTGAGATCTGAAACGGAAGTCTCTATAGCCATTGCAATGATATATGGAACACTGAGTTGATACAACTACAGCTTTGCCTCTGAATCTGATGTGCATTTCCCTTACTAAACTTCTCTGCACTAATGGGGATTAGGGTTTATAGTCCCTCTTCCTGTGCTTGATGGATTGCAAGGAATTCACTGAATATTTTCAAAATTGATCAAATTTTAGCTTGCGTTTAGAATTCACCATTTCAAATTAGTGTTTGCATATTCGGGATCATAATTTTGAATTATCCCAATTCTCGGAAAAAAATTATTTGATTTTCAATCATAATTTTAATTTTTTAAATATACAACTTTTGATAAGGATTTTTTTATTTTTATAAAGGAATTTTTTAAATATACAACTTAATTCATAAATTGAGAACATATTGTTCCTAGTTCCTACTATACGAAAATATTTTACTGTTTTCGTTTTAATATAGCATTTTATTACCAAAGAGAAGTTTACAATTAAAAAAAGAACTATTCTGATTAGATCGAACCCAACTAATAACCTTTCATCTCCTAACCATCTATCGACTACTTTAGCTTGGATAGTAGTTCAACATCGTCAAATATTTAGTTAATTTCATTTTGAGACAACCTCTGAAATATATGTCTTGAATTATTCTCTTCACAAGGTCCGATATTTCTCTTCTTTTGCCTTGAAAAACAATTTGGTTCCTCTCTTGCCACATATAATAGATGTAGCCTGTTAAGGCCATTCTATAAATTGTTGTTGCATCACTATTCCCATTATGATGATTCACTGTCAATGTAAGTTATTCGTTTGGTCTTGGTGCGAGTTTTTGTGTTTTGGAGCTTATGAACCTTAAACGATCATTTTCGATCAAAAGTTCAAGAAGATGACATCGGAACCCAATTCTGACGATTCCATCAGCTCCGGAAGGGTCATTTTAGGCTAGTAGCATGGTCGACATGACTCCCAAGGTTTTCAGTGTGAGTTGGTGCGATTAGGCGTTTTAACTTTAAGTTTAAGCCTAAGTTTGACTTTGGTCAACATTCTGAGTAAACGCGCTCGGATGAGAATTCCGTCAGCGTGGTTAGCTCCGGAATGTCGAGTTTGGTCTAAATTGACCCTTCTTTTGTGTCTGGAGGTTTTCGATATCTTTCCGAGCTCTTTTGTGGGTTTTGATTTAAAATGACTTTTGGAAGTGGGACCCACTTTTTATCGAGATGACCTCTGATGGAAATTTCGACTGAGCCGTTGAGTCTGAAATGTCGAATTTGGTATGGTTGCATGTCTCGTTTGCATGCACGGGGTTTCGAACGAGATTGGAGCACTCCATCGGAGTTTTAAGTTTTGGAAATTATTGCAGATTTTCTGCAATAAATGCAGAAAAACAGCAACATATTTCCAAACTTCAAACCCTCATAACTCTCTCATCTCAACCGATTTGGGCGATTCAAAAGGCAATTTTGTGAGATTTTTCGAGGACAACGCGTTGGTGATCTCGGATAGTGATTTGGAGTCCCCGTTTGAGGTAATTTTCGTAAAACACCTGTTGCCATGACCCTTTTGTGAGCTTGATTTTGGAAGATTTTGAGACTTGTTTTCTCAGCCATTCTAGGTCTGATTTTCAGTGATTTTTTGAGGCTATCTTGAGCGGTTTTTTCGAGGAGAACGTCGTGGTGTTGTCGGCATTTCACTGTAGACCTCCAGTTTCTGGTAAATACACTGATTCAACTGCTGTCCCATTTCTAGTTTTTGAGAAAATTTGGGTTTTAGTTGCATGTTGATATTGTGTTGTTCCCGAGCCCCGAATTGTGTCCCATTTTGGGACATGATCTAGGGGAACTGGTTAGGACCCACTTTTGGAGTTAATTCCGGAATTTCCTGCTCGGGTCCCACTTTCCCCGTTTTGACCCCGAAATTGGTCTGTCTTCGTTTATTGTGATTTTGGTGTCTAAACGACCGTAATAACGTTGTGACTCTATTTTTGATAGCGGGGCAGTGTTTCGAGGACGTCCGGAAAGAGAAAGCTCCGGAGAAGTGATTTTTGAACGCGTGTGATCGGCTTACAAGTAGGCTATGGTTTCCTCTCTTAGATTGAGCTTGAGAGTGTGAATGCATGTTGATTAGTTGGGATTTGGGTTGGTAGTGATTGAATCATGCATAGGTGTTTAGAAATCATGTTTTCGGCCTATTTCGGGAATTATCGGGTAACTGTGAGCATGCTTTGTGTTATTAATTGTCCCTCTTTACTTTGTGGAGTACTTGTATGCTCGATGACTATTTGTTGAAGCATTTGGGCCTTAGTTTAGGTTTGACTAGGGCTTGCCTTAGAAATACATGATTCAGATTCGTTAGGCCTTAGTTTTGCCCCGACGCCGCTCGGCCGGCTTAGATCCCTGTAGACTGGTGTAGCAGACTTGAGCCTGATAGTTTGGGCCTTAGCTAGGCGATATGTTTGCTCCGATGATAGTTATCATTATTTCCCCGATGTTACATCTTCAAGAGTTACGTCGGCGACACTAGTTCTGCTTTGCGATTTGAATTTGATTTTCGATTCGGTTCCACGGACTTTCATTGATCGGCTAGGTGTGGACGGATCCACGGACATTTATGAGAATAGATCGATTGGGACTCTTTCAGCAGCTACAGTGGCACCTTTATAGAGCATCCGGTTAGAGTTCCGGCCTCTATTGCCCAAATACTTATATAGAGCATCCGGTTAGAGTTCCGGCCTCTTATACTTGTTACTTGTGATTGGTTACTTGGGTATTTCTTGTGAGCATTCGATTCGAGGTCCGGCCTCCGTACTGTGAGATTCTACTAATTAGGGTTGAGGTTCTGGTTCGATGTTCTTCGTTCTTGGGTTCGTATATGCAATTCTCTTTAGTTATAGTTATTTTGTGTACTCGTCGGGCTTATGGGGGTCCGTTCGGGTTTTTATTTAACTTGCGCACAAGTGTACCTTCTGGGCTTATGGGGGCCCAGTTAGGTGTAGTTAGCTTATAGATTACTTTAGTTAGTTCTTTGTACACTCGTTAACATTTCTTTGTTAGTTAGATTTTTGTTCTTGACCTCAATTTGCGTATTCCTTCTTTTCATATTGCCTTTACTTTTCAAGTTCAGTCGGCCTATGATGCCTACTGGGTACCGGTTGTTTTGGTACTCATGCTACGCTCTGCATCTATTTCGTGATGCAGGTCCGGGCACTAGTAGCCAGCGTTGATCGAGCTTGGAGCAGACTGATCCGGAGACGGGAGTGAGCACACGACGTTTTGTACTATTTCAGTCTCCATCTGTATATATAAACTTGTCTTTTACCTTTCGAGACAGTCCAGTCTCTGTTGTCCACTTTTGGGACTTGTACTCATTTTGTTAGTAGCTCTGTACTAGTGACTTCCAGGTTCTGGGAGGGATCTTTATTTGTATTTATGTTTTGGTTTGCTTCCGCCTGTGTATATTGTTATTTGCCTACTCTTGTTTAGTTTCTACCCTCAGACCCATTACGTGTTGTTCCGGGTTACGGGTTGGCTTACCTACTGGTGGGTTATAGTAGGTGCCATCATGACTTGAGAAATCGGGTCGTGACAAGTTGGTATCAGAGCCCCAGGTTTATCGGTCTCACTTGTACAGAGCTAACGTCTAGTAGAGTCCTGCGGATCGGTGCGGAGACGTCCGTAACTTATCTTCGGGAGGCTACAGGATGTCCTTAGGAAAATTTCCTCTTTTGTTTCCCTTTCGTGCATCGTGTGTCTTATTGGTTTCTGGAAATCTCACTTATTTCACTCTTTCGCAGGATGGCTCGCTCGCGAGGTGGCGCGGCCAGGGGTGGCGTACCCGGGCTTGCAGGCAGAGCCTAAGTTTGGGGTAGGCGTCGACCCCGAGGTCGAGGCAGGGCCGTAGCACCAGCCCCAGATAAGGAGGAGGAGCCTCAGGCAGCATATGTACCTCCACAGCCGGTGGCGCCGGGGG